AGAACCAAAGTCAGGTCCTCTGCAAGTGCAACAAGTACTTGTGACTGCTGAGCTATCTCTGCAGCTTCCCTGTAATCTTCATGGAACACAATACTTATTTTCTCTGTATGGAACAATAGATCAATTTAACCTTTTCTTTCTTTTTTTCAAATTATTTTATATGTATCAGTATTTTGTTTGCATATATGTCTGTGCACCGTCTGCCTTCCTGGTGTCCAGAGAGGCCAGAGTGGGTATCAGATCTCTTTGTGAGTCACCATGTGTGTGCTAGAAATTGAATCCTAGTCAATGATTGTAAAAGCAGAGCCATCTCTCCAGCCTGCATACTTTACCTTTGTAATGGATTTCAAACGAGGTTGTAGAGCCAAAAACAGCATTGCAAGGTGCCTGTAGTTTCAGCTATTGAGAAGGTTTAGTCAAGAAGATGGCTAGAACCGAAACACTCAAGGTCAGCCATGGCAACATAGGACTCTGCTTCCCTCAAACCCACAACAACCAACACCCTAAAAGTTCCAAATATGAATACATTGTCCCCTAAATCCATTAGCAGACACATATTTGTCCCAGCTTCCGAATCTTTTTTGAGCTACTTGATATACAGTGAAATTTATAAATTCAATAACTGACAAATGCCTCTACTTTTATAATTCATTATTCTGAAGACATAATGTCAGTCACTTCAGAAAGGTTTTCAAGTTCCTCTTGAAGTTAACCTATCCACTCAACTACAGGAAACAACTTTCTTTCTCTCATTCAACTATTCTTATGATCTCTTTTCTGTTCCATTTTTTGTTTCATGCCTGTTCCTGTCAGTTTGATTATTGGAAGTTTGTATGATATTAAGTCAGGTAGTATAATGTCTATTCTGCTGCTTTTAATTAGATTGGATTGGCTAGAGGTTTTGTTGTTGTTGTTTTGTTTTTTTGTTTTTTTGCATTTCCATATAAAGTTCAGTACCTGACTCATAAGACCTGTACATGCTCAAGACAAAAATCTATCGAGGAGGGGATGTGGGTTTGAAGCTCTTTCACCTCTTTATTCCTGGTTAGTATATTTTTGTTTGAGCTTTGTTTGTCTCTACTTCAAATACTTTGCTATTGGCATATAACAGCACTGATTCATATTAACTTTATATCTTGCAATTTTGCTAAATTCATTTAGTAGTTCTTACAATGTTTCTCATAGAATCTTTGGAATTTTCTCTATGTAAGATCACATCATTTTCAAAAAGTGATGCTTTGAATTTTTCTTCTGTCCTAATTTAAATGTTTGGCCTTGATCTTTTTCTCCTATCTGATTGTTCTGGCTAGGATGCTCAGAATTGAATACAAGTGATAAAAGTAGATATCCTTCTCTTGTTCTAGATCTTAGCAAGGACCTTTCAGCTTTTCCCAGCTTGCTATGATGTCAACAGTTATCTTACTAAAAATTACTTTTATTGTGTTTAACTATACTCTTCTGTAGCTTTGTTCAGCATTTTTATCCTGTTGAAATTATTAGTTGCCTTTTCTGCATTTTATTTAGATAATTGTGTTTTTTCTTCCATTCTGTTGATACAGTTCATTGTGTTTGTTGATTTGGCTAAATTGAGCCCTACAGACTTCAAATCTAAGATCAGAGCATCAGCAGGGTGGGCTCCATCTGTGAGCCAAGGAGACAGGTCTCTGTTTCAGCTTTCTGTTGGCTTGTAGATGGTCTTCTTTTCCACTCGGATGATCTTACCTAAGATACAGTAACTCCCTCCTTTCTAGTTCTCCTCCAGCTACACTGACCAGTCTCCAGCTGCAGGGAGACTCAGGAGGTGAAGTGTATAAAGGAAAGCCAAGCTACCAAGAAGAGGCTTTATCTAGGCAACTTTTGAGAGGTCCTCATCTTTGCTGTGCTAATATTCTAGTGAATATAGTTGTTTGGTAATCACCCATAACCCCTGTAATTACTCACCTATAATTTTATGAGCTAGCCCAATAAACTCATTGGCTTACTTTAAAAAAAAAAAAAAAAGAATTGTTCATATGGCTTTCACAGAGATGATTTGTGGTAGTCATGGCAGCCCTTTCCCTCCCTACATTCCATCGGGCAACAGAAAAGGTCTGTCAAATTATAGATTTCAGACTGAAAGATTTCACTGTCAGGTGACCTGTGCCAGAAACAGGTTTTTCTTTTCTTATACCACATTATTATTATTATTATTTATTATTTATTATTATTATTATTATTATTATTATTATTATTATTTTACAATGAATAGTCTCCTTTTGCATTCAGTTTTGGAGTAATGCCATTGTCCATTCATGTAATTATTTGGGTTATTTATAATTAGAGTAGTCTCATATTTCATATGGTATGTGATTCTCATTGGATACTGGAATAGGACTCAGGAGAAAAACTGTACCAAACCCTCTATATACTGTGTTTCTTTACGTAAGCAAGTTTACAAATTCAGTGCTCTTCTCATCCTCGACAAGCACTGTGCTCTATGGCCCTAACTTCTACAGTATGAGATGAAAGATAAGTTTCTTTTTCCTTTCAGGAGTTTCCTGGGTAGACGTTTTTCATTGTTGATCTCTGTAGCCTTGGCATATGAGCATTTGTCTTCCCTTAGTAAGTCATTACTTTTTAACTTAAAGGACTCACATTATGCACGGCATAATGCACATTATTCACATGGTCATTCTTAAGTTAAATTAGGTGGCTTGAACAGAAGCAGTGCAGCATCTCAGGCTGATCTGATAACCATGAGGGCTCAGGTAGGACGTGGATACACAGGATACTGTCCTTGGTGGGATGATATGGGGTGCCAGAAATTTCATCTTGGTACTCAAACTTATTTACATCTTAAGCTTATAAATTATTTCTGAACATTTCCATTTAGCATTTTCTAACTAGTATTATGTAATAGAAACTGGGAGAAGCAAACTGGGGGTAAAGAGGACTGCTATATCTAGCAGTCAGTTTACTGTTACTGTAATGTCACAAATAATATAGGCTTATGGAGTTCACAGTTCCGGAGGCTCCAAGCACAAGCTCAGGTGTTGGGGCACTGTTTCTACTGTGGAGAAGGTCCAGCGGATAGATAGCATCATGGCAGGAATGCACATGAGAGCAAGAGATTACATTACAAAATAGGAAGTTAGAGAGACTGAAGTCTGAGAGCTCTTTGGAAGGCAGAGTCCAGTTGACCTATGGACCTTCTAATATGCCCAACCCCCACAAATCCTTACACTATGTCCCAACTTTAGGCTATGAATTCTTGGGAGCCAGCATGGAACAAAGCACATCTGAACCCTTGCAGATGGTTTTAGGGTTGTAGACTTGAAGTAGAGATTCTCTGGCCTCTGATCAAGTCAGGGCATAAGTAGTATTACAAGTTTTGTCCTGGAAAGGGGACATTTCTGCTACTGATATCGTAAGGTGGGTGTTTCACTGAGAAACAGTGCTTTGCGTGTTCACTGGAGCCCAAACCTGGCTTTCACAGTCATTTTTTCAGGTCCACCATTACTGAGAAATCCAAGTGCTTGAGTTTTATGCATCAGCAGAAAAGACAATAACTGCTTCTTTCTTTTGCCAAACAAATTCAGAAGTGATCAGAAAAGTCCTTACAAACTTCGGTCTTCCAAATTAGATTAGAAAAGTCCTTACAAATGGTATAGTCTTCCAAGTTGGATTTTCAAAATACATAAAAAGGAATTCAGACAGGTAAATACAAAAAACTAATAATTTAATTATTTTAGTACATTTTGAGTAGCACAGTCACATTGATGAAAAAAAATTTTATTAGAAGAGTGAAGGGGTATTTGAAATTCAGGTTTTGATTTTGTAATTGAGAAAAAATTTAAATAATGTAACTATAAATTATAAAAGTCAATTGCTTCAGTACAAAATGCAATTAGGAATCATATAGAACGTTATGCTTTAGAACAGAGTAGAGAAAGTTTCTCTATGATTTAGTGTCTTGCTCTATACCCCATGTCTATAAAAATAATTATGTCTTTAAAGATTGTGTCTGACTCAATACCAAAGGTTATCACTGAAAATACACATACGGACAACTGGTTCTGCTAATATGTAGGTATAATGACAATGAATGAAGAAAGGAGATGAATTTGAAACAGAGCAGGGAGGGGTATTTGAGAGGGTTTGGAGGGAAGAAACAGAAGGGGGAAATGATGAATTACAGTCTCAAGTTAACATAAAAGTGTTGGTGGCATTGTGATTGGCATATGTTCTTTATTTTTGTTAGACTTAACAATATCACATATTTATCTTCATACATCAGTACATGTATGTAATGCTAAATATCTTTTTCTTTTAAGGAAAAAGGAGAAGTTATTTAAGAGAGCAGTGGGAAACCTGGTAACAGAAGAACCACCTGCCCAAAGTTAAATAAAAATCTTAATGATAATCTTGATAATAATTACATAGCTCAAGTACAATTTATTTTATCAGTGGATTAAAATGTTATTAAGGCAGAGATAATTTTTTTGCCAGACAGTACTGTAGTTGCTTAAAAAAAGAATTTCTGTTAGTTTATATATAGTAGAATCTTCTTTTTAAAAATGGTATTATTAATTTTTTTTACTTATTGTGTGTGAATATAGGTGCATATGTGGAGGTCAGGACAAGTGCGTTTTCTCCTTTTACCAAGTGAGTAGTAGGTCCTGAGAATGGAGCCCAGGTTGTTAGTTTGCAGCAAGTGCTTTACCCACCAAGTCATGTCTGGGCTTTATAACAGAACTTTGTGGTAGAATTGATGGAACAAAGACGTGAACATTTAAAATTTTATATCACTAAATTGCCTTTTACAAGTGGATAGGATTTCATCTGCCAGCATTGTAAGTTATATCAAACCTCAATAAAATAAAACAAAAATTATATTTTTGTAATGGGTAATGGAATTTCTTGCTTTGATAATTTTAAATTATATAGATGATTTATAAAGCAGTGATAATCTCTCTCTCTCTCTCTCTCTCTCTCTCTCTTTCTTTCCTTACTCTTTACAGAGCAAACTATTCATGGAAGGATTTAGAAGCTTGAAAGAAGGAGAGCCAGTGGAATTTACATTTAAAAAATCCCCCAAAGGCCTTGAGTCAATATGGGTAACAGGCCCAGGTGGGAGCCCCTGCTTAGGAAGTGAAAGAAGACCTAAAGGGAAGACACTGCAAAAGAGAAAACCAAAGGGAGATAGGTAACTGTACCTGCTGATTTGTGAGTCTACTGTACTTGGAAAATATTTCAATTTTTTTTATTCTTTTGCTTATGGATTTTATAGAGCCTAGCCAAATGAAACTGTCATCAGTGTGTAGCCGGATAGACTGTGTCAGGAAGAAAGTCTTGTCTTGCAGTTCGGACTGTCTTCAGAGTACTGAGCTACACCTAGAGTGAAGTATGGGACAGAGCTTGACTTCCATTCCCTAGATTCTTGAAGGCCAGAGGAGCTCAGATTCAGAGGAAATGCCTCTCTCTGAACAGCCTTTTTCATTCTTCACCTGTTTTTTTCAAAAGAGTTTTAAAATGACAATTCACACATTAAAATTCAAACATTAAAAAACTGAAGTTAGGGGGAAAAGTCACATGAAATCTCAACTGTAGACAGAAGTCATAAAATATATGCTGTTTTGAAATTTGTGAGATTTTTTTAAACTGACTCTTGCATATCATTCATTAACACCTGCATATATTCCCACTATCTGAATCTGCCAAAATTTACAAGCAATGCTGTCAGGGCAATTGAATCTGTTTTCTGTGCTTCGAAATCAGCACTGCTGTATCGATTCTTATGTGTACATTTTTGAAATGTTCTCTGATTATATCCTTCGAATAAGTATTTACTACTGAAAATCTGGACCAAAGATTATGTATGAAACTTTTTAGTACCTAGTTCTAAGCTGCTGTCCAAAAACAATTAGAGCAAAAACTACAACTAATAAAAACGAGACAGCTTACTGAATCTTAGTCTTTTTTAATTACATAGCTATGGACCTCACTTTTTTGTTTTTGTTTTTTAACATTTGTCTGCTGCAAATGTGAACTTTGATTATAGAAAAAATGGAAAGACATTAGGCTTAGTTTAAAAAATAACATAATCTGTTAATCTAATTTACTTTTTTATACTAGTTGGCTTTCTGTTGCTATGACAAAATATTTGATAAATTAACTTAAAAGAGGAAAAGTGTATTTTGTTCACCTCTTGACTATTGGAAAGGAGAGTTGACAGAGGCCCCTCTTCTTTAAATTTCCAATTACCCATTAAGCTATGAACCCAACAGTGGGTTAATCCATTGATGTTATTATAAGGAATCATTGCCCATAGTCCCTACTTAGGAACACTGTTGCACTAGGGCCAAGCATTTAGCATGAGATTCTCTGAAACATTCATATTCAAATCATAACATTCCTTAAAGTACCTCCTGGCAGCTGATACTTCAGTGTACTTTGCAGAAGCAAAGATGGCAGCTGAGAGTAAAGGATGCTTTTCCAGTGTACCAGAAAGAGATGGTGGTGGTTTGGATTGGGGTGGTAGACATAGAAGTGGTGAGCGAAATTCCTATATGTTTTGAAGGTGGAGACGGCAGGATTTACTGATGGATCAGATGTGGACTGTGAGAGAAGAAGAGTCCAGGATGATTCCAAGGTTTGTTTGGTCTGGGCAACAAGAAAGATGGAGGGACCAGTTCCCAAGATGGGGAAACTGCAGGAGTAACAGATGAGCTTGGGGTGTGATAAGTCTTCAAGAGGGTTGCAAGTATAGTAGATAGGTACATGATATGGGCTGCAAATAAAGTTTCAGCAGTAGTTGGTGAAATGATGTTTGTACTCATAAAGCAAGGAAAGAGGAATAGCCCGGGGTCATTGTAGCACTGGGAGGGAGCAGTGAAAGAGACTGAGAAAGCAGGCACAACAGGAAGGTCTTCTAGAACCGGTGAAGTCAAGGAGGTGAGTATCAGGGCTGTTTGGAGACGCTGATGATACAATGATCAAAATGACCACGTAGCAACACAGAAGTCACTGATGTACATGACAAGAACAGCTCTGTAGATTGGGAGGAATGAAACCTGTGGGTCTTGTTGAACAGAGAGTGAGAGAACAGGAAGCAGAAGCAGCAAATACAGTATTGAGGAGGGGCTGAATTATCTAAATGTTAAGAAATTACAGTACATGTAAGTGTTGATGGGGAATGGTTTAATAGAAAGCAAAGATTCAGCATGCATGGGAGAGGAGGATGGTGTCTGCAGTGACTTCTTTGAGTGGTTGTAAAGATGGACAGTAAAGCATAGCTCTGAGATCTCACTGTGACCTCCAGACGGGTAAGTAAACATGAACATGGAATTAGATGAGTTTTTGCACCATTTCATACTGCTTGCTTGGTGCAGACAGACTTATCAAGAAAGAAGGTACACGCATTGTGAGGAAAAAAATGTCAAGGCTGTATTGGAAAGATACTGGCTTAGTAGGCATGAATTCAGAGTAAAATGAGCCTGTCGTTGTGTTTCCTCTCACCAGCACAGACCTCATGGCTGCGGTTCTAGTTGCTGACATCTACTGTCTTACTCAGGTTAACACTGACATAGTTGGTGTTTGATGACTCCCACTCCTTTGTTCTGTTCAAGATGCCATAATCTTTGTCACCAGACTCAGCAACTCTGGCTTTCCATGTGTCACTTTTTATAAAATATTAGAAAAACAGTCCAGACGAGGTGTTATAATCCCAGTATTTGAAAGCACTGTAAATTTGAGGCTACTGTGTTCTATACAGGAAGTTCCAGACCAGCCAGGGCTACATGGTGAGACCTTATCTGAATCAAAACAACAACAAATATAAGGAGACCTCCAAAAAATGTTCAGATAAGCATGGAGATCCCTAAGTACAATGAGAGCAGATTTAACAGTGTGCTAGCAAGAAGTAGAGCTTGGGATAGGACGATGGCTGAGTACTTAAAGAGCTTGACAGTCAGAGTTCAGGACCCCTGGACCCACATACAGGCTGTGTGTGCTTCGTGGCCTGCGTATAGTTCCAGTGCTCAGAGTTAGTCCCTGGAACAAGCAGGCTAGCTAGATTCTGAATCAGTGGTCTCTGGTTCAGTTGAGAGATTCTGCCTCAAATAAAAAGGGGGAGCATAATTTTAAAAAATCATTTATTTCTTAGAGCCATTGGTTTCTGGATTTCTCCATGATTTATAATCTATAGAATCTTTATTGACTCTGGTGCTCAAATGTCCACGTCTAGCAACATCTTCTTGATAGCTTCTATACCTGTTTGACAGGTTCCTATGATTTTTTTAAGTACGTAGATACTCCCTTAAGCCACTTGGAACTTAGAGTTTACAAAATTTTGAAAGAATAATGTTAGAGCTGGGAACATAGATTCATGGGGAAGCTCTTGCCTTGTTATGTACAAGGCCTTGTTCTTAATGCTGGATTCTTAAAAAATGACAGCAAGTAGTTGATTTGATTCACTGAAGCAGAAAAAGGCAGAATTCCAGTTAAATTTTTTTTAATAAAAAAATTAACATTGATACATCTTTGTATGTTTTGCTTGTTTGGAATGTTGATTTTACTTATCAGATTGTCATAAACAACGAATGTTCCTTTTATGCACAGTTCTGTGAATGCTTATACATCTACATTGACCCTCTGACCATCAAGGTTACTCAGAACAGTTATCCTCAACAAACAACCTCTCACTGTTGTTTATAGCTACCCATCTCTAATCTATAATCATGATAACCAATAACATGTTCTTTCATATTATTATTGATTTCGTTTTTGTGAATGGCATATGAACAGATGTATTTCACAACCTTTTGAATTTTCCTTTTTTCCTTCATCATAATACTTTTGAAATTTATGTGCAATGTTGAATGTATCAGTAGTACATTCTTTTATAGTGTTGGATAATATTCCATTATTAGACTCTAATAGTGTCTGTCTAATTCTTCTGTTGAGGTATTTTGGGTATTTTCTAGCTGTGGCAGTTATGAACAGCACCTAAAAAGATTCATCTATAGGTTTTTTGTGAATTTTAGTCTTCTGTTTTGGAGTGGGATTTCTGTGTAATGTGGTCATGGGTATGTGTTTAACTTTGTTTTTACAGAAGAATCACATTCTCCTGCATTCTTGTGAGAAGTATGTGAGCCACCTGCTATGCATATTTGCCAATAATTGATGCTTTTCAAGTGGACATAAGTTTAGCTACTCCATATATGTAGTGGTCATGGTTGTAATTAAATACATTGTAGTGGTTAGGATTTCACTTCAGTAACGGCTGCTGATGCTGAACATGGTATTTTGATGCTATCTATATTCTGGTGAACTGTTCATATCTTTGCCCATTTTTTACTGAGGTATTTATTTTCTTGTTAGTATTCTGAGAGTTTTTAATATATATTGTAGATATTAAATATTTTAATATACATTGTGGATAGGACATTTGACAGATAAGTATTTTCCAAATGTTTTTTTTTCTATTCTGTAGCTTATTTTTCCTCTCTCATAAATAATCTTGTAGAGTAAAAGTTGTTTATTTTGATGAAGACAGTTTGATTAATCTTTTTTAAATTAATTTTTTTATTGGATATTTTATTTACATTTCAGATGTTATCCCCTTTCCCCATTTCCCCCACCCAGAAACCTCCTATCCCATCCTCCCTCCTCCTGCTTTGATGAGGACGTGCCCTCACCCACCACCCACTCCCACCTCCCTGCCCTCAAATTCCCCCACACTGGGGCGTCCAGCCTTCATGGGACCAAGGACCTCCTCTCCCACCTATGCATGACAAGGCCATCCTCCCCTACATATACAGCTGGAGCTATGGGTCCCTCCCTATGTGCTCCCAGGCTGGTGGTTTAGACCCTGGGAGCTCTGGTTGGTTGGTATTGTTGCTCTCTCCATGGGGCCACAAACCCCCTTCAGCTCCTTCAGTCTTCTCTGTAACTCCTCCATTGATATCATGCCTAAGAATTCTTTCCTTAAAAGTTGGATGTGGTGGTTCATGTCTTTAATCCCAGCACTTAGGAGGAAGAGACAGGCAGATTGATGAGTTTGAGGCCAGCCTGATCTACAGAGTGAGTTCCAGGACAGCCAGGGCTATACAGAGAAACCCTGTCTCAAAAAAACAAAACAAAACAAAAAAAACAAACCAAACAAACAAAAAGACAGATAGATAGATAGATAGATAGATAGATAGATAGATAGATAGATAGACAGACAGACAGACAGACAGAAAGAATTCTTTGCTTAACACCAGATCACAGTATTTCCTTCCATGTGTCTCTGGTAGGATGGTTTGTTTGTTTGGTTTGTTATTCTTACAGTTGTACCTTTTCGTTTGTTTAATCCAATTAGAGTTAGCTTTGTATCTGGTGTAATGTTTAGATTGATTCATTTTTGTTTATAAATCATAGAAATTGTTCAGACAGCATCTATATTCATTCTGAACATTTGAATATTCCATATTTAAAAAGATTCATTACAATGTCAGATGTAATCATTGTGTATTTACTGCTTAGTTTGTTTTCTGTTCATCTTTAGAAGAGTAAGGAGGAGAAAACCCCTGTACCTTTCTCATTATAAACTGGAGGTGGCTGTTGAAAAATTAGAGACCTTACGCTTTGTTCTTAAAACCAGCCTAGTCTTTTCTAAAAAATACAGTTTACTATGAAAAAAGGAAATCATTTTTAACAGATTTGAGATAGGCTAATAAACTGATTATTTTGTCTGCCATTGTATTTACATGACACAATTCTGTCAAACTACATTATGGTATTAACTATTTCATTATAAAATTTTAGTTATACTTACAGATATGTGGAATGACTAAGCTGACTTGCAGCAGTGAGAAAATTGGTCTAGAAATCTTTGTGCAGATGAAGTGGCATGATAAATAATTAGTAAATGACACACATGTGACTTTTAAGAATATTTGTCGTGAATTCACGTTGGGAAGATGTGTCTGTGAGTATAGACATCTGGCTCTGGGACTTGTCTGCTTATGGTTTTGCTTTTTCCCTCTTGTCATCCTGTTCCGTCTCTGGCACAGTGACTGTTTTCTTTGTTCTCCTTAACCTTGCACATCTTCTAAACCAACCACACTCTGATAGTAATGGAAAGCCTTTCCCAGCAGTGGGGACTTCAATTTTTTAAAGAAATAATTAAGATTTTAAAAAATAAGAATATTCCAGTGCTTTCAATTAATTTGATATATATTTAATTTTAAAACTATATTAGCACATGAGTGCTTTTTTCATCTTCTGCATAGCTTAAAGTAGTGCTTTGTTTCTAAAGAATATTAATTGCTAAGGTTTTTTTTTGTGGAAAGGAAGAAAATCCCTTTATTTCTTACTATTAAAAAGTCTTTAGGATGGATTTTATTTACTCTTGTTTCAGAATTTGTCATTCTTGGTAGTCTAATATTGAAATGACACATTGATATGTTGTCTTTATGTCCAAAAAGACCAGGTTGAGTATAAATAGAATCTAATTATATGATATTTAATTTAAACTCAGAAGAGTTAAACACACACACACATACACCTGTTCTTTTACATGGAGATGTATGATAATAATTTTACATAATCATATGTTGGCCTCAGATTATTTTAAATTCATAATAAAATTTTGGAAGAGATTTGGAG